CTTTCCCCCACCCCGCTAGTAACCTCAGGGGTAGGGGCTGCGCAGGATGAACCGAGCAGGATGCGGCCCATGTAAGCCAGGGTGAGGTGGGCTGCAGGACACGGATGCTTGCGCTTAGGGAGCTCAGCTGGGCCTGCTCGAGAGGCTGAGAGAGTCTCCCTCGGGCTGTGACCCCAGAGGGCTGGATTCGGGGCTGGAAGGGACCTCAAGGGGTCATTTAGTCTGGCCTCCTGCCTGAGGCAGGATCTGTGTTCAAAATGTGTTTTTCTGTTTTAGCTAAAAATGTGTTCGGCGTGATTTAGCACCTGGTGTAGACACAGGCAGGTCATATATGAACACATCTTCTGTACTTGTGGTTTATCTGCCCCTGACCATCCAACATGGTTTTTAAATCTAGCTGTCCTTGTTCCCAGCCCAAGCAGAACCACGTTTATTTATTGGTCGGTTAATAGGGTGTTTCACACTTTGGATGCAATGTATTTTCCACAGTTCGGAGGGTCTGTGATGTGTCTCACACCCAGAGAGGTGGTGGCATCTCCATCCTCAGAGGTTTTTACGGCCCGGCTCAACAAAGCTTTGGCTGGGATGTGATATAGTTGGGGCTGGTCCTGCTGTGGACTAGATGTGACTTCCTGAGGTCCCTTCCAACCCTCATTTTTTGTGATTTTATGATTCATTCAGAGTAGCTGAAGCCGTGGGGATGAGAAGTGGGGGGCTGGACCACGCAGGCCCAGACTGTTGTGCCTGCAAGAGGAGGGATCTGCTTTGCCTGAGACATCGGGCCAGTGTCTGAGAGCAGCGATGGGCTCAGATGGTGGATGAGGTGGTGAGAGCCAGCCACCCTTGCACCGGGGAAGAGATAAATGTCCAACTCCCCTGCTGATCTCCAGGCCTCGAGACACCACGTGCCACAGGAAAGCGCCCTTATCTTCAATGCAGTCACAGTCCCAACCCAAGCGCTGACAAAAGGGCAGTGCCTGGAGGGTGCTGGACCTCCTGGCCAGATCTGCCAGGCTGCAGGGCAGGGGCAGGCCACTCGGTATACCCCTGCCACGATGCATAGGTCTTGTTCCCCCTGCCCTGGGCATGTGCAACTCCCCCTCTCCTCCTGGATCATGCTAGTGCCTTTGTTCCAGGTGGGTTTCTCCATTGCTGGAGTGACTGTCTCCAGCTGCATGCCCAGGACAGGCAAGCAGCTCCAGATGGCTTCCTGCGTGCACTGAGTTGTGCCCCATTAACTCCTGGGGTCAAGTGGCACAGCTCAGCGCAGGCACTAAGATTGCTGCACAGAGCTGGCTCCAGGGCTTGCTGCTAGCTGGCACGCAGGCTGCAAACAGAAAAGTGAAGCAGGCCACGCCAGGAGGGACTTGCAAAGCGAGTGCCACCCTTGCCCGCGTGCCTTGGAAGGACAAACTGTGCCACGGGGCCCTGAGGAAGAGGCTCTTTGGGAGTAAAACCCTTTGGTGTTTGCTGAAGCGATGCAAAGCCCTGTCGGGCCCGGTCCCCGGCCAGCAAAAAATGTTAATGGGTTCATGCTGCCCAAGTGAGGCCGTGCTCAGGCAGGGGCTGGGAAGGGGTCCCTAGGGTGCTCAGGCGTTGCATGGTGCAGCTGAGCGTCTCCAAGCCTATTAGGAGCATTAATTAAGGGGTTCAGGCCAATGGAGTGAGGACTGGGCAAACCAGGGGAGACTGGGAGCCAGAAGTGGGGGCTTGCTGGGGTCACGGAAGGGGCTTCGAGGCCCAGGCCTGAGAAGCAACAACCCTGGCGCTGGCTGGAGCAGGTGAGTATTGCCCCCCGTGCCGGGGGCCTGGAGAGAGATGGAGCAGAGCAAGGCAAGGGGGAGGCCGCCATTCAGCTCCCCTCACATCCTCGGCTAAGGCAGGGGTCACCTCCTGAAACGCAGCCACGGGGGGGGGGGGACCAGCCCTGCTGCTCCAGTCTCCGGCCGCTGGAGGGACCCCTAGCAGCTGATTGCAAAGCAATTAACCCTCCCCCCGCCCCAACAATTAAAAAAAAAGAAAAGAATAATAATCAAAAAAGCCAGGACGCATCCACCCCCGGGGGAGGTTGCACGGGGAAGCCCCGGGCAGGGGTCCGGAGGGCGCAGCTCGGCGGCGGCGGGGCC